GACTCTGGCCTTTGAGAAGTGTGTTTGAAACGTGGAGATAAGAAATGGAACAGTCGAAGTCGAGAATCCTGCAGTTTTTGCACAGAAAAATCTGTTTTTTATAATATTACTTTTCACAAAGATATCCATGAATTCAGTGTTGTACAACGAACTTCTCCCAAGAGAATCGATCTTTTTTGTATTTAACTGAATCTGTTCCAACAGAAACTTAATATTTTGCCGCTCTATTCTTAACAATTTAGTTTTTGTGCTTGTCGTACGTTTTTCTGTCATAATAAATGTCAACTTGAATACTGTGCCAGGTCCTCGCTCGTGTCCATGATTCCAGAACTTTGAAAATAGTCAAGAGAAAAGTGCTTTCCTAACGGTCAGTAGGCTAGGCAATTGTGGAAATGGTGCTAAAAGTGTTGTCTGTGTGCGAGCCGCTGGATCCAAGAAGCGTTGCCAACATTTCGGTTGTCAAAATCTTCATGCAGATGTCGGAAACGCACGGGAGAGATGCAGCAACACAGCCAGGCAATAAGGCAACGTGCAGGGTGCTGTTGACACAGGTCGCGAAAGCTGTCGTCTTCACGAGTATCTGTTGACATATCCTCATTTTTGGTTGCGACAAGGATGTCTGGATTCGGGTCCTCGTCAGTGGTATTTTTCAAAACCAGTAAAACAGCTGGATTGAATAGCGGCAGTATCAACATGTGAATTCTTCAGATCTGATTGGTCGATGTTTTTATGGGATCAATTCCAGGAGCGTGTTTGAGCAGTACCAGATTGGTAAGGACAGTAAGAGCACGATACTTTCGTTATAATTTCTGTCTCCTTTCCTATCTTTACAGACACACTACTCGTAGACTTACAAGAACATATCCTATCGCGCACGGCGAGAAGCAATTCGAGAGCGTGTGCTGGAGTGTATACGTGTCTGCGAGGATCAATGCGCGTTAGCAAGTGGTAAGGTGTACCACTAAGGGGAAGTAGTTGGACTAATCGTCACTTCCCCACACCCAGTCCATGTATTCCAAGGTAGGTAAGTCCACTGTGACCGTAGAACTCAACACAAATAAGAATGTAGTTTAAAATGTATTCCGAATCAGGAAGAGTGTAGAATTCTATTCTACTTCAGTAACGTGCAATGGAGTACCATGAATGGTTTAGTTCTCCTTTCTGTGTTCACCACTACGCTGAGCCTCAGCGTTTACGTCGATACGGCAATGCCGCACTGACGTCAGCCGCTGCACTCTGGGAACACGTTGATAATATTACATGTACCGTTCTCGAATAAACACATCAATTATTCTATTTCAAGTCATGTTTAAGGTCCTAATTGTTGACTTAAATAGAGAATTTAATACTTCCATTACGGTTCCGTTAAGAATAACCAGAAATAGTTTCTGTACAATCATGTAATTTTTAAAAAAAGTCAGTGTTTCAGGAGCATTTTCATAGATGAGATGGATGTTCGAGATTCCCAGTAAACATTGAGAATCTCAGTGTTAGAGGAGGGCATAACGAGATCGATATTAAAAATATATTTATGAATATATTTTCTGAGTTTAGTTTGGCAGTTTTATGAGAATCCTTGTGATGATTTTTGCTAATTGTGCCGTAATTCGTGTGGAAGGTAGGTATGTCACTTCACGAATCTGGTACTTTGGCACACATTAGGAATGCAACATCGAGGTAAAATGTAAAATATACATTGATAAAATATCCATAATAATAGTAATTATCGTAACAGCACTAATAATTATAATAATAATAATAATAATAATAATAAAATAAATTGCTGGTGAATAATGAAGTGGATCAAGGAAATGATGATCCGCTACACAGGGCATGGCAGCATAAGTACGTCAAGGGACTGGAAGGAGCGTCAAGCTATGTATTCTAAGAGGTCGACGAATGACAATGCTATTGTTGATAAAGTATATTTGCTAATGAACGTAAGGTGTTATAAACATTTTAATTGTCAAGGAGAACACGCAAAGTTTCTGAGAACTTTCGGTTTAAGAGCTATAGCTATCCCAAAGTTATTCATTTCAATAACGCTTCTGGTTCTCCCATGCTTTTGCAGAATTTTCAACAGAAATGAATTTTAATGTCATTTTTAATCACGTAATGCTACATTAATTATTAAGAACATTATTTTTTCATTTTTTTTCATTATCGTGCCTTTCTGAAAATAATGAGCAGCAGTCGAATTATTCTTTATCTAATCATATGTTGGTAATTAAAGACAAATACACGGCAGTATGTGTTCAGAAACTCTGAAAATAATGTTAAGACTGATTTTATGTGAGTATCCTTGAATACTACAATTTCCACTCTAACTTATCATTAAAACTCTAAACTTTAATTTCTTATAGTAGCTCAATAAAGTTCCCCACGTTATGTAACGTGGAAAAGTGAAATGCTGACACAGTGTATCAGCTAATAGCGGAAATCAACCTACGGCGATGTCATAATCTACGATTCGAATATTCGTCTCTCTCAGGTTATACGAAAGTGCCGACTGCAACGATCCCTACATGACAAGCCAACACTCGACCTTTCGTTAACCATAGTTTGTCACCAAACGCTGGCGTTAATTCGCTAACATGTGCTAAATTGTTGACAACCTGAATCTGCAAGAAAGACTACCATGACAACAGGAAAACAACTCGAAAGAGCCGAACACAAACGGCCGGCACAAATTTGATTGCCTGAGGATTTTTTGCAATAGAGCAACTGTCTGCCTGTACTTGGCGCGACTGTCCATAAACACACCAGGGCCCACCAGTAGCATCCTGGCTGGCGGCCGGGGGTTTCAGGGGTACCTATGCTGGGCACGAAGATATTCCTACGCCGGATTCTGGACTTCTCAAGCAGGGAAGTGAGTTTTTTCGTTACACAACAACAAAAACTGGAACTTTGCAAGGAAAACGCACACTGTAATCTTGCCAGAGGTCGAGTCATGGAAGGCGAGCACTCTGCCCAATGAGCTAAACCGCGAGGGCTCAATAGACCAACTAATGTTAAAAAATCAAAGGCGAAAAGAGAGAAAAATAATATTCCACGCATTTAATTGTCAAAAAGAGAGTCCCTATGCTACACGAAGAAATCAAAACTATAAGATGTATCTCATTCTCTTTCTCTCTCTCGGTCTATCTCTTTGTCTATCTGTGTATCCCTCTGCCTCTCTTTCTCTCTCTGTCTTTCCTGTCACCTTCATAGATCAAAATTCAATTAGAAACTGCAAACTTGCTTAAGAACTCGCGATACGAGTAGCTTGACGCAGGATTTTAAAAAGAACAGTACATTAATAATTAGCACACAACTAAGCCATTCGCCGTAAACGTGCCACTGATTACGTGCTTGTTCGTACGTCGAGGCAGATAGTTACAGATTGATGTTCGCATACGCAGATACGTGACACAATAAATATATATTGAACGCAGAGGATAGGCGTTCTCAAACATATTCACCTAATTTCACACGGCAAATTTTTAATACACACGAATTTTCAGTAAAACATAAACCATAATCAATATTTTACACTAAGATATTAATTTAAAATGAAATGTCTGACCTGAAAGAAGGTGAGAGAGAATGTTATGATAACGTCATTTCGCAACATCAGAACGCATTTCGAACATTCCCTGTAGTAGAACTGGGCTGAGTAAATCGAAGGTAACTTGCCCGTGATTTACGACACCCTCACACATTTGTTGGTTCCAACATGTCGATTCCTCGAAAGTTATACTTCTAGTGCAGTATGAAATTTACGGTGCTTAAAGTAAATTCTCGTGGTAACGCAGATGATGGCAAATATCTTTTATCACACGAGGTCAGCCAGCATGACAGTCTGTTAGTCTAGCTACGACGTTGGGCTACATACGCTGAGCTAACTGCATAAAGCAAATAATAAGTAACGTTTTGCAGGCTTCAGGAACCTCAATGAAACATGCAAACGGACACACGAGAACGTTTTATGGTTCCATTTGCCAATAATTGCGCAAAACATCAAACAATGAGGCATTTGTAATAACTGAGAAAATATAAGGTCTCGCTTAGTGTTGTCGTAGGAACTGTTTTTTATTAATCAGTTAGAAAGTAATATACAATGAACAAAACGATTCTGACTGTATAGTACAATTAAGAAAAGAACAGTAACCCCAATAATCGGACAAATGGAAACATTAATAAAACTTAGTAAAACTGATCAGACGGTCTTGTTTTAATGATGTTAAATCATGAAAATAAGAAAAGAAAAAATATTATAATTAGATAGTGTTAGAGAATGCGGGTATTGGTTCAGAAAGCATTTGCGAACACGCAGCAACCATGTGACCGCTTGCAATTAGTGTTTGCCTCGGACTATACTGGCTAAGAATCCACCTACACTTTCCACTGTTAATTACTGCCACTTGTCAAATGCCAATAAACGTGGAGACTTGGCAGTAAGCACTCTGAATGCTGTATCATTTCTGTTTACAACATCACAGGTACAATGTTCGTTTCCACCGGTAAGCCTTAACACCTGATCAGATCAGTTTAAAATCTGGTAACCGACCAGTCACGTTTTCATTTACTAAACATGACGGAGTCCGGAAGATTGAGACAACATTACGCAGGCCGATAACAAATATCATTCAGATAACAAAGAGGTATAGTTGGACTACCGGTGGCATCGAGATCCTTAGAAGATCTTAGTGGGCACATCATTTACGTAATAGAGCACTCCTTCTAATTGCTTAAGAGGGGGTGTAAGATATCTTTCGGAAAGATGTCACATGCACGAAGAGCAGCTATATGTGTTACCCACTCATGGGCATCTCTTGCCAAAAGAATTGAATAAACACAGGGCAAGGAAGACATCTACATCACTGGGAATTTAAAAGATGGTCTTAACAAAGTTTTGTTGAAACATAGTTTATACATCATCACAGAAAGACCCCATCACTCAGAAACGATTCTTCCAAACCCAAGCAAGGCGAAAGCATCTGACGGATTAACCTTACCACAGCATTACTCCAAAGGCGACCGCGTCCACCACCACAGCAGCAGGCTCCATCCACACACGCAGGACGTGAGCACCGGAGCGATTCGTGTAGAAAGCAAGCAACGGCGGGCGTCGAGCACGCGGGCCGGCGCGGCGTGCACTGGCTGACGCGGAGCGGCGCGCAGCGGAGAGGAGAGGAGAGCGGGTCAGGCCACGAGGCAGGCCGGTGACGTCGCACTTGCCCGAAGCGCGGCGGCGTTTGTCGTTCATTAGCGGGCGCATTGTGGCATTGTGGCAGCGCCGCCGTCGCTGGTCAGTCCCCTCGCGTCGGCCAATGAGCGGCGCGGCCCACGCGGCAACGGCGGCCGCGGCCCCCGGCGTAAGCGGCGCGGACGAGGGACGCCCTTCCAGGAGACGACAGGAAGGGAACGTGACGAGTAATACGAATTATACGACAGCGAAAACTCGGGAACCGTATCGAATGCTTCATTCGACAGGACCGTTCTTTGATCGGAAAATTCTCTATTACCGAAAGACTAGTGTCGCTAAGTAGTCAGCGAGACAATGGATCGGCCACCGCAACAGTGGCGGCGGTGGAGCGGTGGCCCTGGCATTGCCGTTGCAGGCGCATAGGCGTGTGCACAATGACACTTTTCATGAAGGACCCGGCCCCTCCGCTGCCTGCGCCCCGCCTGTGAGGACGCGCGATGCGCCTCGGGGGGAGGGGGGCAGAATCAAGCGTAGTAGCGTCAGTGCGGGCCCACCCGCGAAGCTCTTTATGTAGGCCCCTGTATAAAGGGTATAGCAAACACAAGCGAGGTTAGTACATCACATAATAAAAAATATCATGTAACAAATTCATATTCAGTTGGCAAGCTTCAAACCTAAACAACAATCGAAAGACATTTTGTGTGTCCTGTTTATTGTTAACAATGGTAAAGTGATTGTAACTAATAGTGAAAGAATCTGCTTTCATTATATAATTTTATGAAATTAAGTCTTTTATAAAGCTAAACGAATTTATTGATTTAGAAAAAGGGTGACATAAGCTACCGAAGCGGTAAAAATATTTCTTCTGTAGATGCTTTATTGTACAAGTATCGTTTTACCTGTATCATCTATCGTATCAAAGTATCAGAGAAAGTATAAAGTAATTAATATTTCCTACAATCCCAACCCATCGGCCTGTAAATAAGTCTCTTTCACCTGGGCCCGCCCGCATTGCGAGCCCGAACGTTTCGCCACTGCTCTGGCGGCATTCTCTTTTGTGAGACCGATCACGACAGGACCGTGGAGGTCTATGAGAAGTAATTCTGTATACGTAGGATCCAGTCGAAGTTGCATTGCGAACTCGAGAGCTGTATTGAATGGCAATGTGCTTGTCGTTAAGTGAGTGGTTAGCTTACTGTCCTCTAAACCCCCAGAGCGTGGGTTTGATCCCGACTGAGGTGCATGGAATTTCGAAGATCGGAAAATCCATAGCGGCGCTGTACTACTGCGGCGATGACAGTCAAAATTTAAGTATGTAGGATGCAAACTAGAAGATTTCCAATATATGTCGGGAAGGGTTATTGGATCAAATCTCAAGCGCACGTACTTTATACAAACATTGAATATTAATGCATTAATTGGGTAGCACAATTCTTTGGTTCTGGAATTATTAAGCCATTAAGGAATTATTTGTCCACGCCTTTTCAGAACCCATTATCGAAGGTCTAGTGTTAACAAGTAGTCAGAGAGATGATGGATCAACCAACTGACCAATGTTGGGAATGGTGACGGCGGCGGTCGCTGTAATGGTAGTGGAGGTGGTGGTGGAGAGAGATCTGATGAGGCGATGATCGCGCTTCCAAGAGGCCGCTGAAGAAGGCAATGTGGAGAAGTGAGAAGTAATGGAGTATTCGCGGAATTCAATCGTAGAAGAATCGAGATGATGAAAGCCAAATTGGACAGTACCTATCTGTTACTTGACTTCCGCTACTTTTCCTAATTGGAAATTTTATGATTGCACAATCTTTATGTGGCACTCATCACACCCAACATCTTGAATTATTATGTAAGATTACGATTAGGGCGGATTTTCTGGAAGGTCGGGTTCCAAGTACACGTGTTGTGAGTGAAAGAAAGGGGAAGTCCACGGTTCAACTACTTTAATAAGCGTGAGCAGTCGGTGCTGATTGTAATTGTACCTACATGTACTACAAATCACGAAGTAAAATAACCAATGCTCAATTGTTTCCTGGTAGGTTCCCTTAGTACGCTTAGGATATTTCATTGAAGGCGGGATTTATCAAGCTATCAATGTGCTAATTTTGTTTTAAGTTATTTTCAGTGGCCCAAGGCACTTCTCACTCTTTCATTAGAATATTTTAACATTTTTATACGTAATTTATATCACCTGACCCAGACAGATACAATACCTATCTACGAATTATAATCTCACGACTTGAAGCGCGAGCGTTAACTAAAACGTGGGAATATGTTATCAAAGGAAACGAGATCATTGGTCAATAGTCAAACTAAACACAAAGGTAAAATAAGATCATTTCATTTTCGCAATAGAGACTGTGGCTTGACCACGAAAAATCTGAGATCCAGTCCGTTCAGTCTCCTGACGCGCTCGGGACTTCATTCTGGATAATTCCGCTTTCCTCCGGAGGGCCAAGGCAGGAGAGCGCCACTGCTGGCGTTCAGAGCCACGCCGGCGCCCCAGTGCATTGGCTCGCAAAACCGGTTGCAAGCGGTGGGGGCCACGAACGTTCCAGGAAAGTCAGTCACGTCTCGCGAAGTTAGCATGCCGTTCCATCGACGATGCAATTTATCAAACAAATTCAGGGAAGTGCAAGTACATTCCGATCAAAAGAATTGCAGCAGAGGGAACACGAGTACAGTCGTGTGCAGGACGTGGGTCAGCCCCGGTGTTGCAGCGGCTTTGAGCATCGCTGAATAGCGCGGAGGCGGGGCCAGTGGCCCCCTGCGTGCGTACGGTACGAGTGTTTTATCATATACGAGTAGTTGTGAAGCGGTTGGGGTTCATTTCTCCTTGTATCTCGTCTATACATTAAGTGAGGTTCTCGGATATCCAATCATCTATTAGGGTTCCAATTCCGGTCGATTCATCTGACTTTGAGGTGGACAAGGCGGAATCTCCAGGGTTTCTCGAGTCCCTATTTCACTATTACGCCACCTTCCTTGAGAGAGTTATCACCCATTCACCCTGCAATGAACTCCAGGTCCGGCTGAAAACACTAGGTAGTGCGGATCGAAATTCCCATTGCCACGATGATCATTTTCATGCAGGCAGTGAAATGTGAAGGGACGATCTCTGGTCAGCAGCCCATACGATGAGAGGACCTGAAGGGATAAGCCTTCGCCCTCTCCTATGTTAACAAATGAAAATTACTTGGATCATCAAGCAATACAGCACCTTCTTCACGTTTCAAAAATGTATAATGTATGCCATTGACTGTCAGTCTCTCAACTTTCGTAATGAATGTCAGTTTCAATAAGGTATAAAAGAAAGGCGTCATTACACTTCACTTCATTGAATTTTTGAAACGTGATTGCTTTAATGATGGTGTAGAAAATATTCAAAAACAATTTTATCTGACTAGAAAGGAAAGACTTTATTGAAAGTTTCACGACCTTCTTTTTTAGGGATAAGGAATACACTGCTATAACAATGACTTTTATAGTTTACTACAATAAAAGATAAGCAGAAGGAAGGTTTTCAGGATTCAGATTCAAAACACAAGTACCTTCATAAATAAAATTATGCGAACAATGGTGAACATAGTTTACAATCCTCTTAGGTGTTTCTGAGAATCGTTCACACCTTTATCCAAACAACACCTTTCTAATCCAAACCAAGGTGAGAAATTTCCTCATTGAGACTTCCGTGCTAGAACTTTTCCGTGAACAGAAACTGAATGCAATTTGTGTTCCGAGTAACACGTATTCCGATTTATTATTTAATGCTAGTAGAGCATCGGAGAGAAACTGCAGAAATTATCCAAATATTTGCATTCGAGATATGACTTATTCTTGTGACTTACTCATAATTCAATGGAACACTTAAACTTGCATGCGATTACTTTTTATAGAGGGAACTGCAAGATATATTATTTCCCTTCAGTAATTACTGTGTTGACAACTTTACCCCAAACATTCATTTGAGTTACGAGCCAAGATAAAATGAAATTATTATTTTGAACTAAGTTACAAAATCAGAGGCATTCTAGAGATATTTTGATTCATTTGTTGACAGAACATAAATGAAAATCGTGTATAGTTTGTAGAAGAGAAATAAATCCGTAAGGGGCAGATACAACCCGGAACACAGGAGTGCAGTGGCCAAATCACGAGTGCCAGACATTCATGGTCAAATATATGATACACTTCACGATCCTCACGAATATCTAGAAACGACGTCCTCGTGCGTGATTTTCGACGTCAGTCATTCGCGCATTATTCGGCCATCCGGGATGAGCAGCGTCTCGCTCAATTGTACTGACGTTTCGGCCACCTTGCTGTGGCCTTCTTCAGAGCAATACTGCAGCAGTATAGCTCTGAAGACGACAACAGCAAGATGGCCGAAAAGTCAGTACAATTGACCTAGATGCGGCTCATCCCGGATAGCGAAGAATACATTGGCTCCGGCCGCGGAAGCCTACGAACGAGTCAGTTGTTCACATTCAATGTCAAAGAAAACCATGAGTTAACATACCTTATAGCTCCCCCTAACAAAAGAGAAACCTGATACAAAGATGGAAGACATGTACCAGAGGCGAAATTATGAGGGTACCTACACACGAGCGTTGCGTTGACGCGCGATAAGTAACGCGAGTCGTAGAATAGCATTGAATGTTATGCGAGACAGCACACGAGCTCTTTGGCAGTTCCGCTTAAGAAACAGTGTTACTCTACGACGCGCGTTACTTATCACGTGTCTCAAACACGCGTCAACATAATGGCCGTGTGACACGGACCTAAGACGCAACTAAAATCTGCCTTCATATTGATTTTCAGCACTCATGTACGGGAACTAATAGTTATTTTCACTCTTTATTGTTAGGAAGCGTACATTGTACTTTGCAATGCGTGGACAAGAAAATAGACTTTGCGTATACGTTCCACAAATAAGTCTTGTTGGAATAAAACTATCGACCACTACAAAGTAAACAAAACCCCTGGGCGGCGAAAATCAACACAGCTGCAGCCTCGCACACTGAGAATGATCATACAGTATATACGTGTACGTTTTCAAGAAATT